ATGAGAATTCTAGCCCATTCATATCATAATCTGTAGTGACAGAAAGCTGGTCAGTGGTTGTCTGATGGGAGGGAAGGAGCAATATAGGAAGGGAGGAATGGATACAAATGTGCAGTAAGAGCCTTTTGGGGATGATGGATATGTCTATTATCTTGATTCTGGTAATGGTTTCCCAGGTTTATACATATCTTAAAATTTATTAAATTGTATGCTTTAAATATAGAGTTTATTGAATATAAATTATACTTCATAAAGTATTTATAGTTATGGGAATGATACTAATAATAATGTTTTATATCATTATCAAAAGTCTTAAATGAGGTAACACAAGTATTAAGGACAAGCCTGGCTTACGTTAAGTGTTCAATAAATGGTGACTATTATAACTTTATTATTGGTAATAAAAGAACTAATTTTGTACCTTGCTACTCTGTAGCTGTATGACATTAATTCAGACCAGGGGAGGAAAATAATCTTTTTCCAAGTATAATTGTTATAGTTGTACTTTTAAGGAAAATGGTTGACCTTTCTTAATGTATATGGAGTCCTAAAACATTTCCTTCAATAGGAATGACATTTAACCCATTGAAAACAAAACATAAAGCTAGAGTAAGTTTTCTAAAACATGACAAATATAGATATAACTCCCTTGTTCAATCCCCTAGTCTGGTCTGCAGGTTAGAATTATGGGACCTCACCCACAGTATGAAGCAATGGCTGTAGAACAGAATGACACTAAGTGGTCAGCTTTGATCTTTTTCAGGTAGTTTTATACTGAATTGGTGCTGTACAAAACAAACCAACCCATATTTTCCTGCACTGATGTCCTTCTCTCATTGCTTAATTTTAATGTTAAACTTCATTGTCATCTCATGATTCAGAAGACTCTATGATTAAATTATTTGGGGCACTTTGAGTTTCCATTTCAGAAAAATACATTTTTGGCCTCTGTGCTTGCCATGTCGCTTCATTTATAAGAACATACATGGTTCATTTAAGAAAGAAATTAAAAAATACCAATAGCAATAAAAGTCAGGGAATGACTTCTTCTTACCCTTTCCTCGGTGTCTGGATCAGATAATACCACTTGTAATTGAAATTAATGAGTTAAAAATAATAAAGGTTGCTCTGGTGCAATGGAGAAAAAACAATTAGACTTCACATGATAGAAATGGAACATTATTGAGGCTGCTGATTTTCAAAGAAGAAAAATGTTACTGGTTTTTACCCTTAAATTTTGTATTCCAATTTCAAATGATGTTATCTAGTTAAATTTCTTTAACCTCCTTTTGAGTTTATAAATGAAACAAGGAAAACATACACAGCACATAGTCCTCAAACTCACTACAATAAGGACCGCTGAATTTATTAAGAACCTTTGCTGTAGTGGTTTCTTAAGGAGTTTCTTTTTTTTTCCTGCAATAGAACAATATTTTATTGTGAAGAAAACTTGACTCCCAATGTAAACGGTATTTTGGCAATTTTTTGTGAGAGATATTTGCCTATTGTTGGTGTTTGTTTGGCCTATTTCTATGTTTAGGCAAAATCCCTTGTAATTTAAGCATTCCGAGGATATATAGTTTAGCTAGCGGGTTATTTGTGGTTATTGCTGTTTTTAATTCTCCTGATACTTACAAGATAATTTCTGGGTGTTAACTGCAAGAGCTTTTGGCTGTGAGAGTCAGAGTTATAAAACTTAAACCTACTCTGTTTAGTTACCAAGAGATAAATCTAGTTAACACTACACAAGACCATAGAGAGAAGCTGTTAAAAGTGTGGTTATCACACGGAAAACACAAATCCAAGCGCCCTTATCTAAACATATGAGATGTTCTCTCTGCCTAAGGATATGCCCAGTGTGGTGAAAGTGGTAGGCCATATGACATAGTAAGCAATCTTTATTGGCCTATTTGAGATTAAAACAGTGAATATAAATGATGGATTCCTATTTTATCAGTGCAGTTTGCATTCATCATAGGGGTAAGAAAGGCTAAGAGAATTATAGTTCAAGGACACTTATTTTGCTGTGCAGCAATTCAATGCACAAATTTCAGCTCATAATTTGTAGTGAACAATATTGAGAGACCAACTTGTGAATATCTTGCAATGAATTTGCACTTACAGTATTATTATCTAAGTCATCTTTGGTTTTGAAGAAATAACAGAGATTCTTGGGCTAATCTACTTTAGTACAAGCACATTTTCAGGGGGCAGTAGAAACAAACATAGGTTCGTGATGTCTACACATTTTTTGTTGTCCTCCTTATAATTGTAATTTCCTTGGAAGTAGGAAGTATAAGCAATACCAGGGCCAGCTTTTAGTGTACTCTATCAATTTTACCTCCAAACTTTTCATATGCTTGTTACTTAGTCACTATCTATTCTAGTGACAATTCTTATTGATACTTAAATTACGTTAAGGTATTCTATAGTTTCTATTAATTGGAGGATGATGTTAATTATTTTATATATATACTAGAGGCCTGGTGCATGAAATTGTCTTTGGTAGTGACGATTCTTATTGATACTTAAATTACTTTAAGGTATTCTATAGTTTCTATTAAGTGGAGGATGATGTTAATTATTTTATATATATTACTAGAGGCCCGGTGCATGAAATTCGTGCATGGGGGGTGTGTGTGTCCCTCAGCCCAGCCTGTACCCTCTCCAATCTGGGACATCCCTCTCACAATCCAGCACTGCTGGCTCCCAACTGCTCGCCTGCCTGCCTCCCTGATTGCTCCTAACTGCTTCTGCCTGGCAGCCTGATTGATGCCTAACTGCTCCCCTGCCAGCCTGATTGCCCTTAACTGCCCTCCCCTGCTGGCCAGGTCACCCCTAATTTCCCTCTTCTGCCAGCCTGGTTGCCCCTAACTGCCCTCCCCTGCAGGCCTGGTTGCCCCCAACTGCCCTCCTCTACCAGCCTGTTCACCCCCAACTGTCCTCCCTTGCAGGCCTGGTCCCTCCCAACTGCCCTACCCTGCTAGCCTGATTGCCCACAACTGCCCTCCCCTGCTGGCCATCTTGTGTCCACATGGGGGGTGGCCATTTTGTGTGTCAGAGTGTTGGTCAATTTGCATATTACTTTTTTATTAGATAGGATATATATTTTTGGTGGATGGGGAGAGGATCTATAATTTTTCAAAGAGAATAAAACTAGGCTTTATGATTTTAAAATAAGATTTCAATTTATAGTCTATTTTGAAGCAGATATATGTTTGTTTGTTTGTTTGTTGCCCAGAGAGATGATGTTTTCTATTTCTTCTAGCATAAAATATCATCAGGGAAGGGACTAGGTCATGTCATCTTTGTATTCCTAGAACCGTACATAAAAGGTATCAATCTATGCTGATTGATTGGAAGGAAGGAATAAAGGAAGGATACTAGTAATTTCACTATTGGCTTCTAAAGTCAGTTGGCCTCAGATCTCAAATTTGAGAATTACATTCCACTTTTTGTGAAGGGTATAAGTAATAAGTCTGGGGGACAAGTCTTTGGCAAGGACAATTCTATCTCTTTTCCCCAATATTCACTGAAAAAGAACTGTGTATTAGACCTAGGTGCCAATTCACCATGTGATTTGCTTTGGCTAGTGAAAGTGAGAAGGGACATATGCCACATCTCATGAGACTGTCCGCTTCTCCCCTTTTCCTCTGTCCTGGTATGAAGTCATGTTTCAGATGAGGGAGCCCAGGTGTCTGAGAATAACATGGACCTGAGACCCTCACTAACCTATCATAGACATATTGTAAGAAAAAATTATTTTAAAGTAATTAAATTGTATACTTTGTTACTAATAATTGTTCTAATTATTGATCCCATTTACATTATTATTTTTCTGCCACTAATTTTCCAACCATATTTTTATATCTAATACTCCAGGAGTTTTCCTATGGCAAAGGAGTATGATTACAAAATGCATTTTCTTATGATTTCACAATGCATGCTATTGACAAAAATTTGGATGTTATGAGACCATTACTCTCAAATTTATAACTCCACTTTTCAAAGATAATTACTGTTAAAATTTGTGTATTTATTTTTGAGCCTCATTTATAAAATCATTAAGTAACTGTTTTTATATGTGTATGCTTACATATATTTTCACATAAAATAATTTTTAAAATAAATAATGGAAGTCAATAGAACAGTCACATACATTAAATTCTAACTTTAAGAATACTTTTTTTGTTCTCCCAGGAATACCTCAGATTCAAGTGTTGAATAATAGCTATATCCTATTTTTAGAAAGAATGATGTAGAATGACAGTGTGTTATATTTTGTGATTTGCATTTTGTTTCTCTTATAGTGCCATTTCCATAAAAGTGAAACTTGTACTTATACAGCACTTCATGTGTCAGTGTGCTTTTGCATTTTATCTCATTAAGTCCTGTAGCATGCCTGTGCAATAGACGAGCGGCTGACACTTTCTCTAATTCCTATATGTGAAGATGTGATTTGGCAAGTCTGAATGCGGGTGCTGAAGAAATCTAACTGAAAGCCCAATGCTGTTGTACTTCTTTTATCTGTTCTGACAGTGTAGGGTTTTCCTGAAGAGAAGCTAACACTTGTCTCATTAGAGAATGATGGACATAAAAAATGGGATATCATTTATTCCAACATTCTACATAGAGAGAGGTTCACTGTACATCCCTAAGGTTCCAGCTGAATGAGTTCTGAAAATGGGCCTAAATCTCAGTATACCTCATAAAGCGTGCCTGTCATAATTAGAGTCACACCTGAGACTTTTAATGAATGTAAGAAACTAAAGAATTCTGCATGGCTCAGAGGCTTTTGGAATTGGTGGAAGAGCACCAGACAAGGAATGAAGTTTTGTTTCTACCTCCCCTGAGTTCTGAGATCGTCTTTAGCCTTTATGTTTCCATAGTTTCAAGAGTAGGATGGGGATACTGGTAAAGCCCTTGTCAAGTTTTTTCAAAATACACACACACACGCACACACAACACACATATTTAGACATAAGCATAATAGTTCCTACCTGATAAATGGTAGATATTATCATTTGTCAGCAGGACTCCCATTTTAAAATCTCAAACAGTTCTTCTGTTCTCTAGTGTTGGCAAATTGCATTCGGGTATAGGACAGATAGCTTCTTTGTTTTGGGGAAAATCACTCTATGGTCAAAGGTAGAGCAAAAGTCACATTTTAAAAATATAGACATGGTTACTACTCTACAATAACAAAATAAAAGTTCATCTTTGTGGGGAGAGTTTAACCTCTATGTGTCATTTCTTTGGGGGAAAATGCCTCGTATTAAAATGGGTGTAGAGACGAAATCATCTGGGGAAACTCTTTTCTAAAGCAGCTTCAGAATAGTGGTTGAGAGAGAAGGTCCTAACATCATTCTATCTGGGCGTGAATCCTGGAGTCCTCATTTACTAACGTTGCCTTTGGCCACTCTGTCTAACTTGTCTGCATCTATAGGTGTAATAATTAAATCCATCTCGCAGATGGAGAGGTGGGATCTAAAGATGGCGGCCAGATTCTGGGGACATATACTGGTATTCACATCATGTAATTCGACCTTAAAGGGCACAATTTGAGACCCTACAGCAGTGATGGCGAACCTTTTGAGCTCGGCATGTCAGCATTTTGAAAAACCCTAACTTAACTCTGGTGCCGTGTCACATATAGAAATTTTGATATTTGCAACCATAGTAAAACAAAGATTTATATTTTTGATATTTATTTTATATATTTAAATGCCATTTAACAAAGAAAAATCAACCAAAAAAATGAGTTCGCTTGTCACCTCTGACACACATGTCATAGGTTCGCCATCGCTGCCCTACAGCTTATTCTGGCTGTCAAATAACTCTTTGAGACAGTATTTAAGAATCAATTGTCCTGGCTAGAGAAATAATATCAGACTGTTAATTTCTGGTGAATTCTCCTAATAACTTTAGGCTAAGCCAATCTTTATAGTTTAAGGATAGGGAAAAATAAGCATTCATATTGTCAAGCATTTAGGGAAGAAGTTAATCCTGGGGTAGCGATGAGAGCATGAGTGACAAGCCTCAGACTGGTGTAAGGAGATAGATTTTTTTCTTTATCCAGGACTCAGATAGTTGGGACTTGGATCCTGAGGGAGAGAAGGGAAAGAGACATACTTCTGTGCACTTGCCCTGAGGATGGCACCATGGCATAAGGGTAATGCCGCTGAAATAGAAATGCCCAAGGGGAGTTTTAATTTTTACTTATTGATGAGAGAGAGAGAGAGAGAGAGAGAGAGAGAGAGAGAGAGAGAGAAAGAAAGAGAGAGAGGAAGAGGAAGGGGTTGATTCTTATATGTGTCCTGACCAGAGATCGAACCCACAACCTTGGTATATTGGGATGACACTGTAACCAACTGGGCTACCTGGCCAGGGCCTAAGGGAGAGTTTTAAGGCTGAGGATCTGAGGATGCTACAGTTAGGTTTATGTTTAAGTCCCCAGCTTTGTAATGCCTTTGTGTTCTTACCAAGCCTCTGGAAATTCTTACATGTACTGTATCCTGGTCATCTGCCACTCTGGAGAATGAAAGAAGGACTAGTGCCAGTGTGAGGGACTATGTGGTGCAGGGAAAGTAGCATTGTTTGTGGTTCCCCAACCTCAAAAAATAGGAGAAGGCGTGTGGAAAAGGGTGGTGGTGGTCACAAACCTTGCAACTGGCTAAGACGGTTCATATAAAACAGACTGAATCTAAGGAACGTACCCTCAAGAACAATTAGGGATTGGAATCTAGTAGAAGACTGGAAATCTGATCAATGATTAAGCTGCTATGATGTGGAAATTAAAGGGAAATGTGAGCTTGTACATTAGTGAAGTCTGGAATGTTTAACACTGCCACCCTCACCACCATCACCATCATCAGGATAAACTGGCCTCACAAATCTGTAATGAAAAATTACATTTTATTTTTATCTTGAATTCTCTCAGTACAAGCATCAGAGTAATTGACAGAATTTGCATCCATCTAGTAGTCTTCTCATTATTTTTGTGATTTTGTTCAGGTTTCTGATACTCCTGAGTTCCCTCAGTGCTTCAGCCTCCTCATTCTGGGCCCTGCCTTGCCTCTCTGCCTCTATTGCCACTTCTTTGGAGGTCACCAAAGTTCTCTCTGAATGGTGAGTATCGCTGGCACTGCCGACATGGTCCCTGGTAGGGAAACCTGTTTTTCTTATTCCCCAGAGCACAAGCAAAACCAGGCTGGCACTTTTAAAAGATATTACTAAATGATACAAGTACAAATATAAGCTGCTACTTACCTGTTTATTAATCTTAGAGTTCTCAGACTCCAAAATCAGAAGCTGACTCCCCACTTCACCCTAGTAGTTTTCCAGATAGCAGAAGCTCACCCACTTGCCCCACTCCAATGAGATTATTCAAAACCCAGACAGTTGAGATATATGAACTGTCCAGGCCCCATCCCTGTCAGCCTCTGTGCCCCTGGCCTCCCAATCTGAGAGAAAATACAAGTTTTTCATGCCACCTGTTGCTTAAGGTCTTGTCTCAGGATCAAATATGTTTTTACACAATAGATAGTGAGAACATCCACTCTCTTCAGAGTGAAATCCCAGGCTCATAGCTGAACAAGACAATCATAATAGCCAAGGGTCCATTTCCAACAGTCTGGCCTGTTAAGTCTTTTTTAAAAATATATATTTTATTGATTTTTAACAGAGAGGAAGGGAGAGGGATAGAGAGCTAGAAACATCAATGAGAGAGGAACATCAATCAGTTGCCTCCTACACCCCCGCCCCCCACCACTGGGGATGTGCCCGCAACCAAGCTACATGCCCTTGACCAGAATCGAACCTGGGACTTTTCAGTCCACAGGCCGACACTCTATCCACTGAGCCAAACCAGTTAGGGCTGGCCTGTTAAGTCTTAAATAACATCACAGGGAGGGTACCAAATACCAAGTACTGGTTGCTGCATGTGGTCAAGTTCCTTCCCTAAGTCCATTCTCCATTGTAAAATAGACAGAGGATCAGTTCTACCTGTCCAATTAATACTTTGGTCTCAGGAAAAGGGCAAAATATATACAACAAAACCTGAATATTGTTTCTCTTACTCTTGCAGCTTAGCATTGTAAAGCATTACCTAGCTTTAATGTAACTTCTCATGAAGGCATCACCACAACATATAGGACTCCCCAAATAGTTCTGTTTTGTACAAAGGAAAACGGCTCTAAAGACAAATTCCAGCTTGCATCCCAAAGACATAAATTAATACCAATCCCTCAGATGGTAAATTTCCTGTTGAAAATATTAAGAGCTAGACTCTGCCAAATGGCTTGGTCCCAATATGTTAAAAAATAACTGGTTTCTACATGGACATTGGCCAATGTTTATTTCAATAAAAAAATGTTTAACATCCATAGTGTTCCACAGTTAGAATAAAATCACATTCTTAACTCATTACTTGTGTATTAGAGGCCCGGTGCACGAGATTTGTGCACTTGGGGGGGGGCGGTTCCTCGGCTCGGCCTGCAGTCTGGGAGCCCTCAGGGGATGTCCAACTGACAGCTTAGGCCTGCTCCCCATCAGTTGGACATCCTTAGTGCTGCTGCGGAGGCAGGAGAGGCTCCCGTCACTGCGGCTGCGCTCGCCAGCCGTGAGCCCGGCTTCTGGCTGAGTGACGCTCCCCCTGTGGAAGCGCACTGACCACCAGGGGGCAGCTCCTGTGTTGAGCATCTGCCCCCTGGTGGTCAGTTCACATAATAGTGACTGGTCGTTCCACTGTCAATTTGCATATTAGCCTTTTATTATATAGGATTCCTTAGCAGACCAAGACAGACAATTTATGTTATGTTAATGTAGATTTCTATGAGAGATACTTAAATACTTTTGGTCTCTATAAGGATTCTTTAACTCAGGAATTTAGAAATACTGAAAATGATTAATTGAGAATGCCTTCCCCAAATCCGGAATGGGAACCTCTATTTCTGTCTCACCAGCATCCTATATAATAAAGAGCTAATATGCAAATGGTCATCATGCCCTCATGCCATAATGCCGTAACGGCTCAGACATTCAACAATGGGGAGAGAGGAATGGGGACCAGCCAGGCACAAATGAGCTCACAAGAGAGGAATGGGGACCAGCCAGGCTGCGGCCTGGGAGATGAACAAGCCACATGCCTTGCAGTCCTGGGTGCCAGAGGCTGCGCCTGCACCTGCACCTGCGCCTGCACCTGCAGCCCAGGAGAGGGACAAACCACCCGCCCCGTAGTCCCGGGCGCCAATGCCTGCGCCTGCGGCCTGAGCAAAGCTGCCCGCCTATGGTCCCCTGCAGCTGTGGCTGGCCCTGGCGAAACCAGCCTGGGTCCTGGGTTCCTGTGGCTGGCCAGAGGGAGGGAAGCCCGGGTCTTGGGTGCCTGTGACTGGCCAAAGAAGGGAATCATGGGTCCTGGGTGCAGGGTGAGGCAGAGGTGGTTAGGGGCGATCAGGCTGGTAGGGGAGCAGTTAGGGGCAATCAGGCTGGTAGGGGAGCAGTTAGGGGTGATCAGGCAGGCAAGCAGGTGAGTGGTTAGGAGCCAGCAGTCCCGGATTGCGAGAGGAAGTCATACATCCCCCAAGGGGTTCTGGATTGGAGAGGTGCAGGCCAGGCTGAGGGATTCCCCCCTGCATGAATTTTGTGTACCATGTCTCTAGTCTAGTAATAATTCTAAATAAGTATGATTACAGGCACAGTCTTGATTCTGGGCCAGTTTGGTTTCCTTTTGTTGGATTGCCTCAGTTCTAATAATCAGTTTTGTTGAGTTTTTCAAATACTGTCCCCCAATATTCCGGGTTGGGATGTCTTATTTAAGAGCCCTTAATAGTGACAGCAGATGTTCCTGAGCCTTTTCACTGGCAAATGTTCAAAAAGTACTGTATGAAAGCTCTGTGAACATATTTTAAAAGTCTGTTTTGTGCCAATATGAACTGATAAATGATTATGTATAGAGGTTAAGAGTTTCTACTTTGAAGTCAAATTGTCTGGATTCGTATCCTGACTTGGCTACTTACAAGCTATATGATCTTGCAAGGTTACTTAATATTTCTGTCTCAGTTCCTCATCTGTAAAATGGTCATATAATAGTATTTACCTGTAGGGATATTATGAGGATTAAAAAAGAGTGTGCCTGT